TTTCTGATAGTTCTTTGATGTTTACAGTGACAAAATATTCATAGAGTGGATTTCGTATATGAGTGGGACACAGTTACCGCACGGTTACCGCACACTGAGTTACCGGACCTGGCCTTCACAATKGGGCACTAGAATTTGGTTACAGTACGATTACGGTCACAGTACAGTACCGTCCGTTTCCCACTCATACGAAATCCGCTCTATCTATTTTATTTTGGAAAAACACAATTGCAGCCATTATGGTAAAGGTGTTATCGCACACAAAACCCTTAAGTGGAACATTTTMATTAATTCAGCAGATACCTCTGAGGGACCTTACTCTCAAGACTTCGAGGCCCTACAAGATATGGTGCTTTGTGCCCTTGACCGTTACTGCAGAGCCCGATTCCCAGAGGAACCGTCTCGGTATGGAAAAGTCCTCCTCAAATTAATGTACCTGAARAGTGTCATCGCTGAAGACATCGAGACTCTCGTCTTTTCAAAGCTGTTCCCGCACTCATCAGTCAGCGGTTTTATTAGAAATCACCTAGCAACAGAGGCAGCGATGGCAGAGCAACGTTTTWCTCCCACCAAAGAAACYGCWGCTTTAGGCTAACTAATAAGTGCTATGTTTGGRCTTCCTGTCTCATAGGCAAAAGGAGGAGGAATGGAGTCTACATTGTCATAGCTATGATTAGTCAGACAATCACCATAGAAATAGATAAAACAAACACATAATCCATGCTAAATATGATAAAAAATGAACAAACAACGTACTTTTACTTGCATGAAACACGATATAAAACTATCAACGTCGCCGCAAAAAAGGCACAAATGTCAAAACTAAAGTGCGCTCCGCTTTGATCAGCCTTGAAATACAGATTAGATTAATTTAAGGTTTTATTTAATTCTGAGTGAAAATCACTCGGTTTTTTTTACTTTTGTAGAAATAGAAGGCGCATGCGCGATGCGATTTGTCAACTAAATGCTTCAGTCACTGTAAATAACTCAATTGTGAAGCTATTTCGATTAACACAAGAAAATATCAAGTTACCAACAAAAATATCTTAGAATAGATATGCCTTCTTTACTAGTGTATAATCAAGAAAGGAGAAAGCTATTCATTTTTTTAGAATAAAGATGGCGGGGCGAAAAGACTCGAGGAATCGATATAAATGAAAAAAAAACATTCTCCGTGAAGTTTAGCATTGAAATTACATGTAATATTAAGTAAAAATATCGCCCACTACAGCTGTAATATATATATATAAGAATAGAATGCAACAATGAATTCAAATTAAGAAAATATTTGTGCAAGCATTTTACCAAATTATAATATTATTTCAAGAGTCAAACGCAGGAAGAGTCAAACTCCATAGAAAATAAGTAAACTTGCGGGCAAAGATTTGGATTATAAAGGAAAAAATAAAGTAAATATGATCAAAATACTTCTCGTATATATTCCTTCATAATCCATAGAAAAGCCTTTTGCTGTTTTGCTTCTATACTCGCTAAAATAGTGGTAAAAAACTTTTGAAGTAGACATTACACTTCTACAACTTTGTACGCTCTAATTGCATTGTTTTCTTTTGTGTCTATTTGGCTCACACTATAGAAAAGTCAAATTTCGTTTGACAGCTTTAATGACTCAACTCTAACATTTGCATGGCATTGGTGGATGTGAGCTTTCACGTTTGAACTAGAGCGGATTTCGTATGAGTGGGAAACGGACGGTACTGTACTGTGACCGTAATCGTACTGTACATACTGTAACCAAATTCTAGTGCCCCATTGGTTCACCAAAATTGTGAAGGCTAGGTCCGGTAACTGTGCGGTAACCGTGCGGTAACGGTGTCCCACTCATACGAAATCCGCTCTATAGGCATTGCGTGCAGCAGTTGGAAGCAATCCATGCTAACAGGTAGAATTTGAGAGTTGATGCTCTGAACACTTATAACTAAGTGGTTTCTTGAAAACAACTTCAAGTGCGAAGCAATTGCTATTAATAAATGTGTTATGAAATTATCGCCATCGCTTATTCAGTGGTTTTGAGTGTAAAAACACGGCAAAAAGACGCTAAAATAAAATTCGTGCTGAAGTAAGCTTAAAATATATTTCGAATTTTTGAAAACCTCACTAAAACATGATAAAATTTTTCATGTTCTAAAAGCGTGAAAAATTTCATCAAAATCATGATGGGAAAAGATTTAACTTCAATTTCTGCTATGTTATAATGGTTATATAAGCTTTCAATTATGCAAGAAACATTGTTTTTTTTTCGTGCTGATAAGTAATGCGTCTGATACGTGCACTTATATCGAACTTATAGTTTGACAGTATTTCAGCTGGATCATTCTCATTAAAGCGTTTTATATCGTTTTAATCTGTCCTTCTACTTTAGATGAGCTAATAGAAGCACAAAAAGGAAAATACTTAATTGAAATAATAGAAAAAAGGGTAAATCTCCTCAATCTCTTAAATTGTATGAGATGTAAGCTTTCATCGGCTAGACATTCAATCACATGCAGCCGAATGAAAAACACATCGAAGACATTCAGAAACTTTTCAACAACTATACAAGGCAGAACATAGTACTTGAAATTATCCTTTTCGTTGATTAGACTAGATTATATTATATAAAGGAATATATAATATGYGTATGATATGGACGCTCGGAGATAAGGATTTTAACTTTATCTTCGAGTATTAAAAAGATCTCTMTAGAAGRTTACTGAAAAATCGGACAAGTTTTCAAAAGTGTGAGAAATATTGATATAAAATCATGGATAGTTTTATGGAAGTAATAGTTATTTGAGTTCCAGTGTGGGTACTTTGATTGGCTGAATGCCATAATTTATCGTTAGAATAAATTGTTAGAGGGAATATAAACGTTTTTGTAAAGGCGCCATTTTGAATTTCTGTATAGCAATCAACATAATGCATTTATCTTGAATGTGAACGTTWCAGCTTTGTGTATGTTAGAGCTCGGTTTATTCTATCAATATGAAAAATTTATATTTTTTACCAATTATGAATTAGAAATTTTGTAACAGTTTCTCAGTTTCAAAGTACGTGCAACTAGTATTTTATTATGAAAACGTTTTCTGGGCTTTTACCTCTTGAAAATGCATTAATATATRATTTATATCATTGAAGCTTAAATAGAAGATATTACATTGAATTTTATTTCTCGTCTTGAAAAGATCTGAAGAGATTTTCAACACGAGAAATAAAATTCGTATCTCTAAGCGAACATATTCATATTCCATTTATAATATATAATTGTATATGAAAGCAAATTATGTCGTAAAAAAAATAGCTTTTTTTCTTACTTCCACTATATAGAGAAGCCTCGAATGTGTTATTTTCACTAGCGAAAATATCAACTTTAGGAAACGGAGAGATATAGGATTTCATAGATAATTATATGATAAGTGTGTGTTTTTTCATGCTTTTATCACCTGACAAATAAATACTTTATCTTATTGAAAGTTCGAACATCTTAACGTTCGGGGATTTTAACGTTTCATTGTCATTTAAATGAATCAATTTTGAAATGCATACTCTTACCTGTAGCCTGAAAATCCCAATTGTTTCAAATTACGCTATAAATAAGTTATAACCATAGTTCTTAGTTTGTGCTTTTAGTGGCTTAAAAGCAGAATACAAACTTAATTAATGCAAGCTTAGCCGTAAAAAAAAAAACACAACAACTACTTAAATGATAAATCCATAACATTTCCGATCCCGTTACGATCCCTCTGTTCTAGTGTTAATTCAACAAATCACATTTGAAAATTTCATCTTTTATTCCGTTATAAAAACTTCCATTTAATTTCATTTGAGGACTTTGACAACATCAAACTGCAAAAAAGGAAATTATCTATCAATCTGCAATAAGTATCGGATGTTAAAATAAATGTCAAAATGACTATAAAAGTTTGCAAACTGAAAACGTCCGGTGATGAAACACTATTCTAAAGTGCTTTTGTCGATTAGCAAATCATCACACATGTTAAGCTAATGTTTATTCATGAGTTGTATGGTAGTGTTATAAAAACGCCGCAGCACAGCTAGCAGTCGAGAGATCATAAACTTAAAAGCGAACGAGCATGAATTCAACACGAGAGCCAGTACAGGTTAGCTGTCTAACCTTCGGGATATTGGAGTGCTTCGTTGCGACCATWAGCGCTATTGTCAATGGATTGCTCCTAATTGTACTTTACAGAAACCCTTTTAAATCATTTCGTCGACCTTTTTCAGTGCTTATCATTGGTCTTGTAATGACGGATTTTCTCAAAGGTCTCATCGCAGATTCTATCACAGTTTGGATGCAGTTTCATTGTGCTTTTGGGAAAGCCACTTGGCTGACCGAAGACTGGAATTTCTACACCGTTCTGGACTATATGTTGGATAATTCTGCTACCATCTTAGTGACATTATTTGCAGGGGATCGGCTATTAGCGGTAGCAGCACCTCTATTCTATCGTAATCACATTACTACTAAAAAGGTTGCAGTAGCAGTTTTATGCGTATGGCTATACGCATTTAGCTTCAGCTTGCTGCAGTTTTCTGGGATTACTGATGAAGCGTATGATTTAGTCGATTGCTGTCTTCATATTATCGCCCCAATGGTGGTAATGATTATAATACATGGTTTAATCTATTCCGTCCTACAAAAGCGAAGCAAAGTTGAGACCACAACAAATGCTAGTCACCAAATCCAAGAAACTCCATCATGGGTACTGAAAAACCAACGACTTGAAAAAAACTTTCGCTACGTCGCATCTATCATTACACTGATTTTAGCCATATCCCAGTTGCCATGGCTCTCAATAGTGCTTGTCAAATCCMGCTGCAAGAGTTGTACAGAGGTGTATTGGTTTGAGACTTATGATCAGTTTGCTGGTTTCGCTTTATCACTGACATCGGCAATTAACCCTATTCTATATTGTTGGCGCTTGAAAGAGTACAGACGTGCGCTCAAGGCTTTAGTTACGTGTCGCAGAATCCAACCAACTTCAAGTCTTGAAGAAACGAGAAACAAGAATTCTATTCCTAATCTGAATGTAAATAGCAACATAGATTCCCGCAAACAAGCGGATTTAAACTCTCCAGGAATACAAACTTAAGATTAAACCTTTCAAACAAGAAGTCGATAAGAATTAAGAAAGTTTGACGCCGCCATTGTAATGCGAAACTGATAATTGGAAAAAATCGATCGCATATTAAATTCTAACTCAATCGAAAGTAAAGGCTTTGTGCTAATTGAATCCAACAATTTAGAAAGTAGACTTCAATGYTTTTGGTTTTATAATTACTGCATAGTTATCAAAACTATCGACATTGAGAACTATAAACAGGTTATTTTTAGTTCAATTTAGCTTAGACTTGACCAGCATCTCAAGAAAGTCATTCACTGAGCTTTTGCTTTCAAGATCGTAGGTGCAGTGTACATTAAGTTAGATTAAAAAGCGTGTCAGATTACTGATACTTTCTCTATCTACTTTTTTCTGTTGATGAATGTCGTCGTTATAAAAAGAAACTTAAATCAACAAACAAAWCAAATAAATCTTCTTAAAATAGCTCAACGAAATAATAAACCATAAAAACCTTTTCTTAATAGTGTCAACAACGTTTTTAATAACTCTATCCCTTCCTCATGAATATCCAAAATGTCTAGGCTGTTATTTGAGTACATGCGAGTCTCTTGAGAAACTGAGTAAAAATAAAAACGTAATACTTACTCTTAGCGCCAGACAAACTGAAACTTGTCAGTCAAAGTTTGGCCTCGGGCCTTTAGTTTTGTTTTTATAGATTTCTTTTCGTAAAGCCGTGAAAATACAGTCAGCGTACTASAATTTATAACTTTATTGTGCACAATTTTTTGTTGGTCTTTTCATTGATGAAACGTTTTTACACTTCGACTCACTTTATATTTTTTCACGGATTTACGAAAAAACAACTCAAACCCGTGAAATATACTGTGTTCTGCACATTAAATATTCTTTATCGTGCATGCTTTTCGTTTTTCTCGTTTTTTTAATGGGAAAAATCTATATTCTAAAATATATAGAAATTATAAGAAATCAGTTTCAGAGTCCATACTTTTCATACTTTATACCAAAAAATTATGGTGTCCTAATCGGTTAAGATATCTTGTAAAAAGAAATTTGTTTCCTTAAAAAACRGAAATAACAAATCACTTTATACAAAGGCATTTTAGTTATACTTAACTGTGTTCTAATTGATCGAAGATTCTCAATTCGAAGATTTAATCTTCGATTCCGGTCCCACTGTTTCTTTGATTAGAAATGGTGATGAAAACCGGAAAATTTATTTTGCCGTCTAACTAGCATATTGAAATATGATCAATACCGAATGAGCAAACGGAAGGACACTTAACTAGATGACATATTATCGATTGGGATCGATTGATTGAAAAAGTCAATCTTAGAATGGTCTAGAGAATATTGCTCTCACTGAATAACTTCTAGGTCTTGTTTTTACTGAAGGCTCACATCGAGTTCACGGAGGATTCATGACGAATTCGCGACGATCTTACGCGGTGAATTCACTACGAATTGACGATGAATTCACGACGGATTAACGATGAATTCACGACGGATTGACGATGAATTCACGACGAATTGACGATGAATTCACGACGGATTCATGGCGATTTCAGGGCAAAGATCACGACAAATTTAACCCAAACCGCGATACGTGCTCGTAGTATCATTAAATAGTAAACAAACTGAATAAAAACGCTGATAAACTGCCACAAAGAAGACATTTTATATAGTAAATATTGTGTGCTTTTAACACCCTGATATATCAAAGCTGTCGAAATAGTTTAGACAGGTGTCGCTTCAATGATTACTGTATATCAAAAGCCGTAAGAAATATAAAATGAGCAGGATCAGGCATGAGAATTTTAAAAATGGTGGAAACTGCGTCGGAGTTTGTAACTAAAAACACTAGTTGCGTAAAAAGATAAATTTAACACCGTAAAAAAGTAGGTGCAACAACTTACACACGGTTCGTATAGCGTTAATCCTTGGTCGGAGTAAAACGAGGGGAATTTTACTCTAGTGCCGCCTTAATATTGTGAACTAAGTTCGCTCTCAAAACAGRTGGGAAAGAAAAAAATAGGGATATTTCTTATAATCATTAATTAATAACGTTGACGAGATGTACCGCGGAGTTGAAAAAATATAGAACAAAATGAGCCATGTTTTGGGTCGTGTTTCTTGAGTTATCTTGAGGATTTTTTTTTCCAATAATTCATTCTAATTATTTCTAAGCGGTTTCCTTCAAGAAAAACCAGAAGATAATTTAAGTAACAAGTTAGTGTTTTGTATTTTTTATATACTCTATAGTTTGATTGCATCTCATTTAACGCTCTTAACAAAACATTCTTGGCATAAGAAAACGTTRATTTTACAAAGAAACTTTGTTCTTCATAGCTTTCATTGGTCATCCGCCATTTTGACATTTTCATCAATACCATGATGCAATTCGACAAAACAAAAATGGCGACAGCTTTGCTTTTTGTTATAGTTTACAACACGTTTACCGCGGTTGTATTAGCGAGTTCATCGAAGCGTTTTTTTCAAATAGCGGACGTAATAGTCTTCTTCACGGTTCCCTACGTCATCTGAAAGCTAGCTGTGCCTTTGCATCGAAGCGAGACGATCGTTGAGCGTGCAAGATAGAAACATACTTTCACACACCTACAGACAATTATTAACAGATATCTATCATTGCAATCTCATACGGTTGTCTCACTTTAATGACAAGGCACGGGCACCTTTCAAGATGGCGCAAGGAACCGCGAAGGAGACTATTATCAATGCAATCTGAACATCACTTTTATGGATCTATTGTAACCTCCCAACCTGGTGAAGCAAATCATCGGATTCGATATTGCGCTACACATACCGATCAATACCGAAACACGCCATGTCACAAAAAACGACGGGCTTGCGACACAATTTGCACATTCGCCTTCAATAGCTRTTAGTATGATGTAAGGAATCATTGASAGCCCAAGAGAAAGCACAATGAAGGAAGATGTCRCTGAAAGTTTTTTTTGAATCGCCATGTTTCTATCTGGAATCGCGTGTCCTTTTTGAAATTCTCCATTGCTTGATTCACGWGGAAAAATTGCTCTTTTTTGCWKCCTTAGTTTGCAGTAAATAATGATGTAACTCAGAACGATGATGACAAATGGAAGGATCATGTTTACAACCATATCTACCAGTTCGAATAGACCAGGTGGCAAGGCTTCAGACGGGATGAAGATAAATGCTGTTGAAACACAGAATATGATTATGGTGCACGCACAAGTCTTCTTAATAGTGATTGAAGCAYGAAAAAAATGAGGCCAAACTACAGCAAAGAGTCTTTCYACGGACAAAGCCGTCCCTATAAGARTCGAACAATTGASRGTYACWAACARAACTGACATGGAGACATTATCTCTGAAAAAAGGCCGCTTGAAAACACCCTGTGCAAAACACCGTCCTAGTTCGTGGTAGGCAAACGTTGTGGATCCTACGGTACCTGTGAGAAGGTC